GGGCAGGGGGGTGGGAAGGGTCCGGGTGCCGCACGGCGGCGAGGAACCTGCCTGCAGCGGGAGCCAGCCTGGCCGAGATCAAGGGCGCTTTCAGCCAGCGGTTTCAGCTACTCAGATCTCTGTTGTTGCACTCGCTTATTAGCACTGCAGAAAGGAACAACAAACTCAACCCAGGGTTTGGATGGGAGAGATTAGGACCACCCCGCACCTTTCTTTTAACAGAAATAGCATAAGTCCGAACATGAACCAAACTGCAACTCTAGGAGGTGCACCTTGCCTAAGCAATGCTCTCCACCAACACGGGACTGAGATCATGAGAGGTCTCGCTAGCTTTCAAGCTTCATTAGCTCGCTCTCAAGAGTTTCAGAGGGTAAAGCCAGCGCAGTCGGCTTTGCCAAGCTTGCCACTTTATGACTGCAGCTTGAGATGGCAGAATTGCCCATGGGAGATGAACTGTTCATTAGATATGCTGGCACGAAAAGAAAAGCTGTTTAATTTAATCCACCAGCGCAGTCTGATCCTTATCTGACCAGGTGTACTTTTTCGGCTGCAGCAGCGCTGCAAAATCAGCCCCAAAATCCTGCGAGCGGGAGCTCCTGCGCTGGGCTCGGGGAGGCTGCCGGGCCTCCGCAGGGAACCGTTAGCTCCTCTCCGGCCTTCGCCTGCGAGGCTGGGCAAAGCGATGCCTTGGAGAGCAAGGAGGGCAGGCAGCGCTCCCTCGCCTCTGCGGCGGGCACAAGGGCTTGCACGGATCGAGGGTTGCACGGATCGAGGGTTGCACAGATCGAGGGTTGCATGGATTGAGGGTTGCACGGATCGAGGGTTGCATGGATTGAGGGTTGCATGGATCGAGGGTTGCACGGATCGAGGTTTTTGCATGGGTAAGGCTTTGCATGGGTAGGGGTTTGCAGGGAGTAAGGGTTTGCACGGTTTCCTGCGGGAATCCTCCACTAATGGCTCTTCAGGACAACACGAAGCAGAAGCAGAAGCTGGTGCATGAGCACACACTGCGTGCACAGGCATCCCCACGGCGCTGCTGTCCTCGCTGGACCCACGGGGGCTTTGCCCACCAGCACGCCTGGAGGGGCTGGGCTCTGATTTCCATCCACAGGGGATGTATTTTGCTCCCCAGGACATCACTTGGGGTCTGGGCATATTTACAGAGGGCAAAATTTGGTCCCGGCTGACCACGAACTTCCAGTAGGAATGGTCTGGGCTGTGCCACGGGGTTGAACCCGCTCGATATTTAAGGTGGGTCGTGCCGCAGGGCCAGGTCCTCGTGGGGGGAGCAGGGCAGCAGCATGGCCGGCTCCTGCCGATCCCTTCCCGTGCGCAGGGTCCAGCCCATGACCATGCCAGCCCCGCGCTGCCCGGTGACGGGACGGGGGAGGCAGGAGCTGCGCTTACACCTCAGATGAGTTGTACCGATGGGAGGAGAGCAAATCGCTGCCCGCTGCCTGTCCTGCTTTGAAGGCTGAGACCAAATAAAACAGATGACTCTCTGCAGAGCAAAACCCAGCGGTGGTGGCGGCAGGGATATAGTCAGGGTTAATGACAAGGAGCAAAATCCTGAGCTATGGATTTCACCCCCTTTCCCCAGTGTTGAGCTGAAGGCAGGGGTTTCTGGCTTGATTGTGACTTCTGCTGATTAAACCCCAGTCGTTGTGCATCCTCCTGGGATGCTCCATATTCCCCTGACCGCCCTTTGGACCAGGTACTGCCTAAAAGCTCCTTCCCTTCCCATGGCTGCCTGGGGAAGGTGGGTGGCCGTCCCTGGGCGGCTGCGGTCCGCTGCAAGCTCCTACGGCACAGACTGCAAGCTGCGAGACCAGCCGAGCCGCTGCCCTGTCTCACACAGCTCATACTCACCTGGAGAAAGAAGCCCCAGCAGAAAGCGCTGACGAATACGGCTGTCTAAATCCACATGACGGGAGCGGATAGACAGACTGGCTCTGCCTGGGATCGGGAAGAAAGAGTCTATAAAGTATCCACAGCTACGTGGCGTTTCCTAAAGATACCCTTTGCTACGGGGGACTCAGAGCACCAGCGCCCCAGGAGCTCTGGCTGGCAGGATGCTCGGGCTGTCCCCCGGGCTCAAGGGGCAATGCAGGACTTGGAGTTTATTTTGGGGGAAGCTGGGCCTCCTTGCACAGGCTGGATCCAACTCTGACCCCCCCTCCATCCCCCATGTGAATAACACTGCAGCTTTGAGTTTATCCTGTTAAAACACAAAATGGGGCGGTGTGCGGAAAAATTAGGAGACGTTGCTATTGCACAGAAGAAATTGCTTAAAAGAGCACAGTTTGACCAAAAAATGTAAAGCCTGGTCAGAGTGTGAGGTGCACAAGAGGCTGCACGGTCGTGGGATGCACTGGGAGGATGCCCAAGCACGGGAACCTCCCAGCGTTCAGAGAGAAAGCACCTACTCTGCCCTGGTACGTGCTTCAGAAACGCCCTGATGTCCCCAGCGCATCCTTTTAAGGATTCCCATCATGGTGAAACAAGCCAAGAGCTCGGTCCTGCCTTTCTTTTGAAAGTTGTTTCATACTGGGGACTGGGCATGTACCAGACCTGGAGCTGGAAATTATTTTTGAGGTAGTAAAAAGACCATGCAGGAAGTTCCTCCTTGTTCCCAGCAAGGGAAAGCCCCCACGTTTTCATAGGGAGAAAACACCTTGGCTTCTTCTGCAAACCTGCCCAAAGATGCTCCCGACCTAAAACTGCGCATGGAAACCCAGGTGCCCAAGGAGGACACGAGGGGGTGCTTAAACCCGTGCGGATGCTCATGCTCCTCCAGCACAGAGCTGCGCCTAAGACCAGCACCAGCTTTTTTCAGCTCTAATAAGCAAAACCCACCCCCCCCCATCATCATTAAGTGCGGTGCCACCCCGCTGCTCTGCGAAGGACCAGGACCGAGCTCCTGGATGCCAGGGATTTTTCAGGGCTAAAGACAGTTTCTGCCCTGAAGAGGAATAACAGCAGTCAGGCCCTCGGGCCCTGCTGGGGAGGAAGGAGGTTTCTGTTTCTCCAGGAGCTGCTGTGTCTCAGCTTGACCGAAATCTGCAGGATCTGTCTGTAGGAAAGGCAGCCGAGGCGGTGGGGCTCTGTTTACACCCTGCCAGGCAGGAGCCCTCTCCCACCCCTTAGATGTCGGCGGGTATAAACACACCAACAAACAGCCAAGTGCTACCGCGCATCGGGAAACCGAAACAACCTTTGAAGTTTGAACGCGCCTGCCCCAGGGCCGAGAAAACACTCGGAGCTAATCCAGAAGCGACACGCGTTACTGCAGAGGCTGAGATTCCGGGGCAGGAAAGGGGCCGAGCACTCGCAGCTTCGCTCAAAGTGATTCTGACGTGCAAATTAATGCGATTGCAAAATCAATCCCTGCTGGCCGGGAATGCACGACTACGGCCCGTATCACCCGGTGATGCGAGGGCGGCTTGGGAAAAAAGACGCAGGAGGGCTGTGGAGGGGCTGCGTGGCACGGCCGCCGCTCGGCCCGGGGAGCGGGTGAGCGACACGGTCCGCAGGCTCCCCGCTGATGCTCGCTGCCAGGCTCCCGTAAGCAAAACTCACTCGACTGGACTCTGGGAGGCTTTTATCCGACCGTCATCCCAGCTAATTACAGAGAGAGTGATTGCAGCTCCTCCTCTTGAAGCATTCGGCGAGAACAAAGCCTGTTTCTGCCCAGCTCCTGCCTGCCGGCTCGTGGAGGAAAATCTGAAGCCAGCGTGTGGCCACCCTGCCTCGGCATCCCCGGCATGAGCATCCCCAGCACGAGCATCCCCGGCGGGAGCATCCCCGGCACGAGCATCTCCATCCCGCAGCCTCCGCCGCCTCCCGCACGGGGTCAACGCTGCGGCTTTTGCACCCACCCGCACCGACCTGCCGAGCCTCGGCTGAGGGCTGGGCACTTTGGGGAGAGGTTTTGGGGCTCTTTTTGTAAATTTTGGGCAAGCAAATGGATGAGCAAAGGCTCCATTAGTCACACACACGGTGCTGCTCTCTGCTCCGTCGGGCTGCTTGCTGCTTTACCGTATCTGCTCTATTAGTCACTAATGAACGTGTCTGACGAGGTTGCTTGAGGATGCCAAACCCTGCGGATGCTGGAGCTGCTCTCAGCAACGCAAACTCCCTCTGCCACCAACTGAACGACAAAACCTCGTGCAAACCAGGCTTTTTCCCTCCCGCCCGCCCAGGGCTGCCCTTAACAGCATCCCACCCCAAGAGTGGCCCTTGCATTTGGCAAGCAGGCTCCTTTCTCACCCCCAACTCTCTCTTTCATGTTATAGCACAGTCACCCCAGTACTTGTTTTTCCTGAGGATGAATCACATCATATGAGGAGTTAAATCATCGCCCAAGAGTAGCAGATTTAGCACAGAAGGCGAAATGTAATCTCTTTGAAGCCGAACTCTGTATCAAAAGCCTCAGCCTCTGTTTCCTTGTGGTTAAATGTCTGGAACACGAAATTCATAAACAAAATAAAAAGCTAACATTTTACTTTGTGTTTTAATATGCTTCGCCTCTCCCGTTTTGCAATATGCTCTTGTACCTGGAGGTCTCTGCTGGGCTTTACTGGGGCTTTATCAGCCGGCACCAGGGAGGTTCTGGCTGCCTGCCCCGGCAGTCGCCCTGCCCGCACTCTCCCCCATCCCGGCCACCCCGACCCGCTGCCTGCAGCCACCGGCCTCCCTGAGAGCCTCTGCGAGGTCCCTGCGTCACCGGCCGGGATTAAAAATTAATCCGAAGAGTGATGATGCCCACACGGCACTGCCCGCCAGACCTGCTCCCTCAGCGTGCTGACGGTCACGGTGACAAAACCCGGCGGCGATGACCACAGAGCACACACCGGTGCATTTTTAACTCATGTCCCTGGGGCAGGTTTCCCAGCGGGCTCCACTTTGCCAGATGGGATGGGATGCTCCTTGGGGCTGGCTCATGCAGAGGGATGTTTTGGGAGTGCTCCAGCTCACGGTCCCTCCTTCCCTGTCCCCCTGGGGTAGTGGCTGCCACTGAGCCGGCTGTGCCACGGCCAGGCTGGGGGTACCGGGGTCATTCACGGGGGCAGATCTCTGCCACGATATATTTTTTCCCTGCGCGACAGACCCCAAGAAGCACCACAGCTTGGTGGATGGAGCATTCCATTAGATTATGCCACACTCAGGGAAAGCACTGTTTGTGCCAAAAACCCCAGTGAGGGAGAAAATGACCTCTTACTCAAAACCAGAGGCTTTTCTTGTGACTAGCAGAGGTGGGCAGGAAGTTCTCCCTGGGTTTCCTAATCCACACAGGCAACTAGAGGTAAGGCAGGAGACAGTTTTGAATCGGGCAGGTTGTAATTCCGCTCCAGGGATGCCCCAGCTGGGACAAAGCCTTCAGCCTTTCCATGGATCTGCTCCCCATCTCTAAAACAGGGCTAAATCCTCCTCCCCATCACACAGCACACGGAAAGGAAGGATGAAGCCAGGGGAAAGCACCGTGGAGGTTACGAGAACGGCCGCACGTGGTTTGCTGAATGAACATATGGCCCCCGTACGGAGCGGCCGTGGGCTGGGGGCTGCGCGGGGCCGAGCCATCCACACTCACCATCCCATCGACGGTGTGATCTGTCCGACTCCACCGGGAGGGAGAGGGTAGAAACTGGGGATGTCTGAGGTCTGGGAAGGACGATGCACTCCTGGGAGAAGGGAGAAGGAGATGAGTTGGACCCAGCACCGCGCTCCCTGGCCGACCCCGACCACTCCTGAGCCCCCTGGCTGCTTCACCTATGGGCACTTGTGGGCAGTGGGGAATATATGTGAAACAGCCGCCTGCAAGAGGCAGGATATTATAATTGCGCTTTTTATCGCCCTGGTTCTCTCTGTGGGGATGCGGTGGGTCGTCCCCGTTGCTGCAGAATCACAAACACTGGTGTAACAGGGTGGGGAAGGCAGCTTGCTCCTGCACAAGCATCATCCCTGCTCCGTGCCACCCTGAGGCCAAGCAGCACCTTGCTTTGGTAAGGACTTGATGGACTCCAGACATCCCCCCGCCCTTCCCAGGGAGCCTGTTCAGGTGCTTTGATGGTCAAAGCTGTTCCTACACCCCCCTTCCCATCCGCCATCCCCGGGACCCCCCATGAGCACCAGGGGGATGCTCCAGCAGGCATCACCTCTATTTTAAACAACCTGCGTCCCCGTTCAAAGCAATCGCCTCGCGGGCTCTGTGGGTGCCAAGGAACGGCGGAGGTGGGTACGGTGCCAGGTGGGAATTCACCCTCCGCACGGGGAATCCCTGCGCGATCTTCAAAGCCGCTGGCACAGGCGGCATGGCCGGAGGAGAGAGCCGCAGCATCCACCCGCTGCTATCTGGACGTGAACACAGCCCGGGGCTGCGGGTGGGACGCAGGCAACTGCGGTGCTGCTGGCAAAAGCAGCCTCCAGCTGACCCCCGGACTGGCAAACTGGAGGGGAGCTGGGGCCGAGCTCTGCTGCAGCATCGTTTCACGCTGACTGCTAACGAGCCTCAGATAAAAAATGGGGTACAGAGATTCTCCAGCAGCTGTCCTGGGCAATAAATACATTGAATAAATCGGTGATTAGCTGCAAGCAGTTTGCAAACTCAGAAGTCTGGATTATTCTCCTAGGTGTATTAATGATAAATTATTAATTAGGAATGACACCAACAGATTCCAGGCATCTTATTCGCAGCTAGTCACAAGAAACTGTATAACTAAATGGAAAGGAATGTCTAATTTAGTATGAGATTTACCTACAGCTGTGCTCAGGTGGGATGCAGCAGCCCCCTGAAGGTCAAACAACCCCAGCATCCGCGCTAGGCAGCTGCCAGGATTTCCCGAGATTTGGACCTCCAACAAGACAAGTTGCGTAAGCCAGAGCACAAGTTATTCTGGCTGGCCCGGTGGCTGGGGCACCAGCCACTGACTCAGAAGATCCTGCCTGTATTTCCTTGTCTGCGTGTCCTTGGGCTACTGCGAAATACTTTAAAGGGCCGCTGTGAGAATGAGCAGGATGGTGACTCTCCAGCGCTTGCACCAGGTGATAATGGGAGCTATTCCCGCGATGAACCCAGAGATGGGACGCATCCAGAGTGAACGGGGAAGGAAGCCCTCGCCCCAGCAGCGCAGGGATGGGGGGTGCAAAGCTGATCACAGCTGCACCACGGAGGCAGGTCCCAGCTGAGGACGATGGTCTGAACCTCTCCACAAATAGCACCTGGGGGGGCTCCGGGATGGACAGACTCCCCCTGCCTCCATAAATGTCCAGGCTAAATGGGAAAGGGGAGCCTGGGAAGTGCCTGCACTGCTGCAGCCTGCGGGCAGGTGGGCAGCCAGAGGCCAGCTTCCCAGCATTGCTGACCCACCGCAGAGATGAACGCTTGGGGGCTCCTCCGCTGCTGATCATAGGCTCCACGGAGGGATCTAACCAGCTCATCCCTCGGGCGAGCTGCTCCCACGTTGCTTAGGGCTTTCCAGGCTGACAGTGAGTCCCTGCAAGGCGTCTGCGGAGGCAGCGTGACAGAAGGTGTGTTGGGTCGCCTTCCCCAGGGACTCAGAAATCTGCACGCTTCCTCTTGAGATTCGGAAATCTGCCATTAGCTGAGCTTTTAATAGGTTTATTTTGTTAACTCCTCGGATTTTTCTGCTGAGTGTATTATGGTCTGGTAGCCGATAAGCAATGTGCTGGCTGGGAGAAAACCAGGATGTGCCTGGGTATCTCTTTACACCAGACCTAAATCCTCCCCATCAGCAGCCCTGATGAGTCCAGGACGTGGCCTCTGGGTTCAGACCAGGGATGATTCAGCACGTCCTCCAGCCAAGAACACCCTTGATGCCCAGTCAGTTTAGCAATGACATTAATGTCCTTGGCGAAGCTGGTGTCTCTGGGGAAGTCTGGATCACTCTTGGGTGGAGGGCTTTGCCCAAATCACAGCAGCTGGTTTTGTGCCTCTCTTTTTGCACTGATTGCTCTGATGGACCCCAAATCCCTTCCTGAATGTAGTTTGACAAAAACCTGGGAATTTGCTTGCCTTCACATGAAATCAAGACCAGATTTGTGCAAAAGCTTGGGTAATCTGAACAGATGTCGAAAGATTCTGTCGCACGAACGTAAGGCTGAGAAAAGTTTGATTTTGTGCTCAGCTTGCCAGTAAGCCATGAATAGCGAGGGGCTGGCGTGAGTTCCTGCGCACATACCTACATTTTACAGTTCAGGGTTTAACCTCTACCTACTGTACTTTCCTCCGTAGCCTCGCGAGCTAATTGACGTGTCCTGGACTCACACAGGAACCCAAAGAGCCAAACCGTGTGACAACCACGTAACGCGTGGCCACGGACACATACATATAACAATCCAGTCAGCTATTAGACACTGATCCTGTTTAGTCAAAATATTTCCTGTTTCAAGCATTTATTTTCTCAAAATGACAACCTGACAACAGTTTGGGTATGAGTCAAAGGAAAGATTACTTTCCATTTTCTGGTTGACTCTTATGCATCATCTTGCAGGCTCCGGTCTGGTCTCAAGCTACAGGACAGAGTGCGTGGAGAACTGAGCACACTTGATCAGCAGGGTTGGCCCTTTTGATATCAAACTCCTCTTGACCAGGATTACAAAGCATTGCCAAGAAGCTAAATCAACTCCTACTGCTAAGCAATGCCCCAGTTGACCAAAGCTCTTGCCTCTGCCCATTGATTTGGGACTGGGAAGGTGGCAGCCTTGATCTCAGTGGTCTCCAGCACTGTCCCCCTCCCACCGCACCGATCCCCAGTGCCTCCATTACCTTGTTTCTGGTTGATGTCGGCGGGCAGGTGGGGCGAGTGGGAGCCATGGCTGAAATGGTCGTTGCTGTAAGGGATGAGCGGGGTGAGCGGGTGGACTCCGTGGGATGGCTGCACGACTGGAACTTTATTGGACTGCAAGACACAAGGAGGGAGAGGGCTCAGAAGTCATCAAGCTCCATGAGGAAGGAGGGCCAGTGCCCTTTGCAGTCCTGGCATTGCAAGTGAGGCTGGCAATTACAAAAAGTCCCCAGTGTCTCCCAAGAGCAAGGCAGAAAAAGCCCTTGCCTACTTAAATAAACACACCACCACCCTGCAAGAAAAATCCCAACCCCAAGCAGTGACAACAGCTGGGGACGATTGCACGGGTAGGTGGAAAACAGCTCAAATCAACACGAAGGTTTCAAAATTCAGAAGAACCTTTTTTTTTTTTTTTCATTCATTTCCAGTATCTTTTATTCCAGGATGAATGCTACCAGCACGTTACCCAACACATTGCTCTTGTTTTCTGCCTTGTGCTACCACAGGGTCTAAATCTGGACTTTCACATCCTGCACATTCACTCTGAAAGCCGCACTCGGGCTTTCCTAACCGGGGCTCTCAAGCAGGGAGAGCCGTGCTGAGGGCAATGCCTTTGAAACCGTGACGTGGTCACTGGTGAGCCCCTGGGCTGAAATACCCCTGGGTCTGAGCTCCAGCGCTTGGAGAAGGACCGGAGGGAGCTGAGGCAGCACTGGGGATGCAACAAACCCAGGAGAATTTCAAAAAGAAAAATCCAATCTCCTCTTGCAGCTACTCCGGGTTACGCACGGTGAGGCCGTCGGAGCCCAACGTCTTTGTAAAAGGCGCTTTTTTGTGAGCACAACGGGGAGTGCTTCTGCATGTCGGAGCAGAGAGAGGGGAACTTGTTCAAAAGAGCTGTAAGGAAAACACACACACACACACGCACACGCACACGCTGCCGTCTACCACCAGCCTCCTCGCCTCGAGCGTCTCAAGCTGCTCCCTACATGCCCGGTTTCGCCCATGGTTGCCTTTAAACCCAAACTGACTTCGCCTTGGTGGTGGAATGTTAGGATTTGTCCCAGATAAATCCAGAAAGAGAAACAGGACTGACAGCACCCCAAAACAGGGAGAAAATGAGAATGGATCGGCTAAGACAGCTCTCCAGGGGCTAGGAGCTGGGTGTTGCTAGCCAGGCCTTTTGTGTCCCACCAGGACATCTACAGATGGTTTGCTGCGCAACTCCTGACAACTCATTTGAGATCTCTGGACTTGATTCACTGGTGCCTTTCACTTTGGTAATGATTTTGCTCAGGCAGAGTGAGCACGCAACGCCAGTCGGCTTTGGTGGAGGTGGTGCAGCCGGAGCCGACGGCTCTGGAGGACCCGTCCCGGACCTCTCCTGCCACTCCGAGCTGCTCGCACAGCAGCCCGAGAGCCCCAGGCAAGTCCTGTGTTTTGCATGGCCGCTCCGAGGAGGAAACCCATGGAGCGGAAAGGAAAACAGACTGAAGGAGATGCTGCTTTACATCTTTCTTTCCCACAAAGGTTTGCCCATGCAAATAAAACCCAAAAGGCATGCAGGTTTGCATTTCAGAATGAATGAAAACACTAATTCCTGATGCTTGCCGGGTGTACTGTGTACAGCGGGATACTGGGAATGTAAC